TTTAAAACCCCCAAACTCTTGCACATGTCCAGTGTGATGCCATTAAGCCACACAAAATTACATTTTCATCACATGTACATGATAATGGCGTCACCTGTACAAGCACCCAAGACGTCCACAGCTGCTAAGCCTTAGTAGTTACAACAAGGAGACAGGGCTATCCTAGGCAGCAAGGTTAGATGAGTCAGAGTCCCAGTGATTTTGGGAATAGCATCCATTGGGGTTCCCCCCTCTCTTAGATTTACTGCTTATTAGCAGGAAAGAAGGAGAGCAGCAGAATATTGATACTATACTTCAGAAAAGCAAACTCAGGGAACTGGTGGGCAGGATCCCATGGTAATCAAGAGAAAAAGGAGTCAGGGGACTGGCTGCTCCTTAAAGAGACAATACTAGGGACAAAAAAACATGTTATCCTGATGTAAAGTAAAGATAGGGAACCACATAAAAAGTGGAAATGTGGTCCCATTACTAAGGATGAGCATGTCATTAAACTACAGTTCATAAAGTTTAACCAGAAGAGACCATTATGATCATACAGGTTTACTTCCTGTATGGCACAAGGCACAGATATTTGTAAAAACACAGTTAAGGAGATTTCTCCAGAGGGTATTAGAAATGAAAAGACATCTCTATAGTGCAGAATGTTAATAACAAATAATCCTCCAGTTAAATAAGAAGCTTAGTCCTAATATAACAAACCAGTGCTGGTTTCCAAAGCATTGCAGAACCAGTCACATAGTAGCAAATTTAGGTAATAACTGTGATGGTTCAAACCACAAAATTATTTCTATTCTTTATAAGCCCACTGAACAACTGTAGTTTATACAATGATGTAGCTTTCTTTCTGTCCCATGTACAATATTAATGACTGGCTAGGCATCCACTGCCACTAGTTTGTTTGTAACTCTGCAGTGTGTTCACTGGATAAAGTATGCGTTTTGGTACGATTACCACAGAAATGATTTACGTCCTTTGACTCAATGGTTTATTTTAGGTAAAAAAAACCTGTAACCCCAGGTATTTAGATCTCATTTCTGGATTTTACTTTTCTTTTATAAAAGTCCCAAATCAGAAAGGTCAAGGGTCCATCCTGACCCTAGTGATCCATAGGGCCAGCATGATCAAGTGCCAATTTCTATAGCAAACACCATACACATTGGCATTGCATCCATTTGCCTTTGACTGCTCAGCCTGAACAACCAGGTACTCATTTACAGGTAGGCCAACTGGGAGTGGCCTTCAGCATGAGCCCACAGCAAGACTGAACCTCATCCTTCTGGAGCAGTAGCAAGATGCCTTAACCACTTGGTCACCGTACCCCAAAATCCCAATAAAGATTTCAAATATATGTATAAAGGCATCAGAATTATGTGGGCCCCAAGAAAAGAGAGTTATCATTTGAGGTTGTCATTTGGAATGATGAACAAAAACACAATTTTCTCAGCATAATAAAAAATGGGAGCATGGGCATGTGAATAAATAACTGAAAGATATACAGGGGCAGAAATTTGCTCCAGGGCTTTACCCAACAGTAAGCACAAATTAATCTATGGTAGTTTGTCTCCCTATCGTCAATGAAGTCTTAAATTAATGTATCTTATGCCCATGATAAGTGCTGAAATATTTCCGTGTATTACATCAGGACAAAGAGCTTCAGTATCTGTTACCTCCACATAGGATGTCAGAGATTATTTCATCTCCATACCTGCTAAGGTACCTCTCATTTACCCATAGAAAAGTGAAACAAACAAACTAACAGACTGATATTGTGGAAGCAGATATTAAATGGGTAATAATAATGGGTACAAAATATGAACATGAAGGGATCAAGACAATTCTGGATCCTAGCACCTAAGATTTTTTAAATCTTGTACATGATAAGCAGATTTAACAATCTACACAAAAGAACAAATTCATGTCTAGCGAACTTTTGTCAGGCGTGAAGTTAGCCCTGTGTCTTTCATTTTGACCATGGCCCTGCTCCTTCACATCATTTACAGCAGGTAAAGGCCAGAGAATATTTATTATTTAATTTCTCTTGGAATACTGAATCAAATGACGACTACCATAAATAATTAATGCAGAGAATAGTACAACCAAAACAGCTGAACTAGCTTTTAGGCAATGCAATGTTATGGCCTTGGGGGCAGAACTTCAAAGACTCTGACAGTGCAGATGGCAAGATCATCTGCCTTTGGAAGAAATTGCTACATTAAAATGAAGGCCATTTGGACTCCACAGATTCTCATGCTTAGTGCTAAAACAAACAAAACCCTTACCTCAAGTCTGGCACAATTATATAATGAATAACTTGACTTCTTTCTTTACCTGGAAGTGATATGTTTGATACTCTCCCGATATGAAATATGAGGAGAACACAAACTCAGGTATGGTCTAAACTTTTTTTTTTCTTGAACTGATTGTTCTGTTTCATTGTTCATCTTACCTACATGTTCATACAAGAGAGATTGGTGAGAAAAAAGAGGGTATGAGTTATTATCCATAATAATTTTAATGTTATATTGCTTAAAAGATACTGCTATATGTAAAACCACACTGGGAGAAAGTAATTTGTAACAGTTCCATATGTGATAACAGATTTTTGTTTTCTTGAAAGGTTTGGGGCTTTTACTCTTTTTCTTACTTTTTCCCCCCTAACCTTTGCTCTTCATTCTCCTGGCAGAACAGTGCTGCATTTAGTCATTTACAGGTACAGCAGATTACCATGAGGTAAGCTAAATTGTACTCCCAAGTAATTGTATGTGTGTGGTAAGTGGGAGATACCTTACCTGTTCATTGTGAGGGAAGCTATACAACCAGCTCCAGTTGCTCAAGGGCAATTACTGCTCAGCAGTGATAAAGCCTGGCTTTAAAAGTGTCAGGACTAGGTTTGGGTTTTGGCTGTTCAACCTGTGCTGAAAGAAGTTCCTAGTTTTCTCAAGTGCAGTGACATGCACACCCTCTGTGTGTATTACAGCACTGCACGCCAGCTCTTTTGCAGTCAGGTACCTCAAAGGTTAACATTCCTCCCGGACAGAACCTCCGCTTTCTGACAATGCGCTCCCAGCATCTGGGCCAGGTTGTTATTGCCGTGACCTCACCCAGAGCCATCACTAATACCTCTGCTGGGCAACCACACTGGCACCAACCCAGCTGAGAACAGGACTGGGATGAATAGGGTTTCCATATGTCCCAGTTTTCCTGGACATGTCCTCTTTTTGGATCCTCTGCTCTCCATCTAGGTGTTTTAAAAAAAAATATGATCAAATGTCCAGGATTTTTGTTAGGTCAGTTTCAAAGTTTTTTCCTGCCACTTCCTGGCTTCCCCTAGCAAGGAGCTGCTTGGGACTGGGGGGCAGTTGGGGGAGGGCAACTGTAGGCAGGGGGTACCACATGGATGTGCACACACACACATGCACACATACATGCATATGTACGTGGCTGCCATGCAGCCAGGCAGGGTGGTGGGAGCTGCTCCAGCAGCTGCATGCAGGTAAGTTTGTGGGGGGCCAAGGCTTGGGAACTGTTTGAGGGACTGGGGGGGAGGGGGGGCA